GAGTCTCCTCTAGCGATATGAGTAATTTTTGCTTTTATTTTTAGCTTAGCTTTGTTACTAAACCACTTAGTGATATAAACAGTTTCTTAGTGATCTGTCAGCCGTACTTCTTGTAAGCACAGCACGTGAGGATGTTGTATATGTCTTCATTTAGCACTGTTGTAACTTTTAACTCTATGTACTCTAGGAGTTCATCATACTTTAGCTGTAAAGTAGTCTGGGTTGATAATCTGGAATTTCAAAATGTTTATACCTGGAAACATATTCTCATTTGTAATTTACTGGATGCTTGTGGCCTGTTCATGGAAAAGCAAAGAGCTCCACTTTGCAAACAGCTCCCTGCACTGTGCATAGGATTTCCTTAGTGAGGTATGAAAGCAGAACGCAGGAACTGTCACAGCTGAAAGGGAATTAGAAGGGTAGAGGGGGAGAAACTATTTGCTAGTCTAGGAGCTAGAGCTGAGTTGTACTTAATATTCCATGTTCCCTTATCTAATTCCTGGCTACAGCCGAGTTTGTGATAAGGGAAGATAGGTCTGAAAGTATTTTCACCAAACTTTAGTTTTAAAGAGACTTTTACAGCAATTTACAGAAGGCTCAAAGAGAAATGGTTGATAACGTGAATTTTTCAGTGAAAGAGTAGTTCCTCGGGTTTTTTTATTATTATTCCCCATTGAGGACCTTTAGATTTCAGGGTTTTCCAAGAAAACATGTTTCCAAGGAAATCTTGCATCTAGGAACTCCTCTTAAACTTTCTAGAGACCTGTTTTCCTGTCGCCTGGCAATGAATTTACCTCCTGGGTCATTGCCACTCAGTCCTGCACCTCTTATCCCTGCTTGAAGCATACCAAGGAAAATTTCAGATGGTACTATGGGTACCTCATTTTCTTCTGTTTCCAGCAGCTCCCCTGATTGTGGTGGGGGCTCTGGGCATCAGTAATTTTTCCTGCCAAACTGAAATACAGATTCTTCCAATAAGATGCTTTTCACAATAGCCGGCAGATAAGGGGGAACTGGCAGTCATGCCTTAGGGGCTACTGCCCTGCAAAAGGAGGTTCCTGAGCCAAAACACTGCTCCGTGCTCCTAGTAGGAGAGATGTCATTCAAACTCATGTGGAGAAACAAATTTTAAAAATTAAAAAAAAAAAAGAAAAGAATCAAGTTTGTTTAAAATGAGGAAGACACATTAATTCTTTATTGTCTTTTTAATATATTTCTCTGAACTGCCTTCAGGAATATTGTGTCTACGGTGAATCTTGGTTGCAAACTTGACCTAAAAACTATTGCGCTGCGTGCCCGAAATGCTGAATATAATCCCAAGGTAAGAGAAATGTATTAGGGTTCATCTTATAACAGGTATGTCAAAGTCACAGGATGTGGTTATAGTTTGCTGTAATAGATTGAAAAACCTTCCTACTAGAGATGCAGTTTTATTCTATAGTTTAAAAAAAAGCCTTTAGTAAACTTAAAATGTTCTGTCAAACTAGTAAAAAGCATTTTTATATTGATGTAGCTGTGTTTTACACCAGGTTGTAATTTGGTAGATTTGGAAAGAAAGAACCTAGCCAACAGTGTAATACACTGGCAGAGTTTTTAATTGTAGAGCTGGTCTCTGCTGCTATTCATACGGGCTTCTATGTTTGTAGTGCTCAGAAAGTTCCTTAAGTGTCTGATGAGGAAGTCTTGTTCCCTGTCTCCCAACAAGGACAAAGGAAAGAAAAACTGAACTCCTGGGCTCCTGCCAGAGCCACAGTTGTTCTGCATATGCTGTGGCTTCCTCTACCTGGCTACTCCCCCGTAATTCTTGAGGTTGCAGCACAGTCACTCATTTTTTACAATCTCTCTCCTCCTCTGAGCTCTGTTCCTTGCTGTTGTCCTCTTGTACTCCCACCATCTCCTTGCTCCTGATAGCTAGGTTTGGTGGAACAGCAAAATGAAATTGATTTTTTTACATGTCAACTCCCAAGTTGCCCGCTGCTTCTAAATAGCAGTCTGTCAGACGGGGGCGGGGGGGGTTTAGCTCAGGAGTCTTTGAACAACAGCACAGTGACCTGGAACATTTAATCAAGAAAATTAATGTTGCTTCATTTTTCTTTTGGGTGGCTCCTCTTGGAAATACTATCTCCATAACCACAGTAGTTGGACACTATTTCTAATAAAAGTTTAGCTGTTGTGTAGTTGAATTGCCTTGCCTTGGAAAGGCTTCAGTTTTCCTGGGGTGTGGGGTTTTTTTGTCGTTTTAATATTTGGGATTTTGCTGCAGTTTACCTGGATGCTGCTCGCAAAGATGAAAGCGTGCTTGCTGGCATAGGTGATAAATAGCTGTCAGTGTAAGTTTCTATCAGTGGTGCTGTTACATAATTGCACGTGAGTGAGATATCAGCGCAGCAGAAGGTTGAGCACGCTGCCGTAACTGTTACGGGTGGGGTGGGTGGCTGTGTAAAACCTGTGGGCTGGAAAAATCAATCCAAAATGCTGTTTTCCGCAGCAGAGAGAAAGGGGGGGTTGTGTAACACACTGCTGACTTCTATCAGTACATTCATCTACCAAAGAAAGGTGCTGCTTGGCCGTGTTATTGAAGCCACAGTTTGACAAACGTGCTGTTAGGTAACCCACGCTGCTGCCTTGGTGGTGTCAGCAGAACGCTTACGGGACTGCGTGGTGAGCTCGTCTGGGCCAAATGTAACGGGCAAAGGGAGGGGTGTGTGTGTGTGTGTGTGTGTGTGTGTGTGTGCCCACATCAGTTTCCAGTATCTCTTGTTTCAAAGAGTTTAAGAGTATTTGGAAGTGCAGGCAGAGATTTAACAGTACTTAGAATTGAAAGCTAGAGCTAAGCTGGCTGCTGTGTGGTGGTTGAGGTGACTTCTGTTCACACAGAACTTTGATCTCCTGCTGTTCTGTTTGCTGGTATTCTAACACCATCCAGTTGGTTTTTTTTTTAAGACACAGAAACAAAACAGATCATAAAATATTTGCAGATAGTCTTCCTTTCTACTTATACCAAATTTCAAGACATGGAGCAATTTTATTATTATTATTATTATTACTTTTAAGATTGTCTCTATTGCCCTGTTGCAAATGTTAGCATGATTTGTGTGTTGCATATACAGTAATGAGAGCTGAGCTTAATAAGATATGAATGCAATGGTAAATATCCTTCCTGTCTGACTTTACCTCTCAGTGTGTGTGTGTTTGAAGCTACTTATGATTTAAGCGTTTCAAGTAAATTGAGTGATCCATAAATATGTTTGAACTTAGTATTTTTTTGCAATACAGTGTAAATTTCTACTTAGATTATACAAAATTGGGTTTAATGTCATGATTACAGCAGTATATCACTAATAGTCTCAACACTCACATTTCAGCGTTTTGCTGCTGTGATTATGAGAATAAGAGAACCACGTACTACTGCACTTATATTCAGCTCTGGAAAAATGGTGTGCACGGGAGCAAAAAGGTATGTTTAGGTATTTACAAGCAAACTAATTGAGGCTGTCTTTTCTCTTGTACCATGATGCTGTAGAAGTACTATTACTTATATACAGTTGTATGTACAACTTTGTACATGTACAGCTGAGCTCGCTGCCCAGTTATTTCAAATAGACTAATATGTTTCTACACAAAATGTCTTTTCACAACTGAAAGGGGAAGCGGTAGTTCCGTTTCTGAAGCTCTTTCATACAGTCTGATAAACTGCTTTGCAGAGGTTACTGTATTCACTTTTTTGGCTTTGCAGTTAGGTTTTTTCCTAATAATTTAAAAATTTCAATGACTGTGCATTGGAACTGCTTAAAAGGTAGGGGCAGTAGCAGAGGAAGAGTGATTTTATATTTGAATAGTTTCATTCATCCCAGGCCAGGAGCTCCAGGTCTCTGGTCCCTGTAGTGGGATCTGTTCCTAACATGATCACTGAAGCATAAGAATTGAAAGCTAAACATACGCTTAACTCCAGTGGGAAGGAGAGAAATTCTGCTCCGGAGACGTCTGTTAGGAATCCAAAAGGAATAAAAGCTCGTGAGCAGAGCTGAATGAATAGAGCTGTGCAGGAAACACTTTCTCTGCCTGGTGATGCTTGGAAGTTCAGGTTGTCTTACTTTGTGTTAAGAGCAACCAGATCCTCAGTTTCCAGAACTGAAGCAAACTGAGCTCTGCAGCAGCGTGTAAGGTCATGCAGCTGTGTTAAACCCAGGTTTGAATACCTGGGCAGAATCAAGCAGAGGATTTTGGCAGTTTACAGATTTATTTTTTTTAGTAGAAGTAAGTGTTTTCTAGCAGTAGTAGTTCAAAATTGTTCTACACTGAAAACTCAAATGTTTTCATGTCTCATTAGAGAGACTCGGGTTGATATTTTAAGAGTGTAAAATATGTGGATTTATAATTTACTGTTTCCTACCTCATGAAAGCGAGTGTAACGTTAATGGTGTTCAAGATCCTAGTACCAAAATTAGCATGCAAACCAGTGCTAGTTGTTAATTCTGGTTATAAAAATTTTGCATGTGCCCTTCCCCTCCCCCTCAACACTGATTTTTTTTTTTTCCCTAATTAAATATTTGTGGTTTAATGCTATTTGCTTCAAGTAATACCTAACTGAGGAAATAATATGGGTGTCATTTTCTCACTTCAGTGAGGAGCAATCCAGACTGGCAGCAAGGAAGTATGCAAGAGTTGTTCAGAAACTGGGTTTTCCTGCAAAATTTCTGGATTTTAAAATTCAGAACATGGTGGGCAGCTGTGATGTGAAATTTCCCATCAGATTAGAAGGATTGGTACTCACACACCAGCAGTTCAG